ATAAACTAGCCGTCAAAAGATGTGACATCCACTACCTCACCCATATATCACTACATACAAACAAACAAGGAAATCACTGACACTGAGATAACGTTCAAGTATTAAGCAGAGGAAATGCCAAGTACGTCAGAGAATTTGTGGAAGTTTGGTATTCTACTAAATTGACAATTAACAAGCACACTGACATGGAAAACAATTACCAATGCATAAGAGGGAGATCTCATGCACAAAAAGTCAAACTTGAGGTTGAGGAAACAATCAGTACCAATACAAGTAGCCTAAAGGGTGTGAAAACACACATTCATGGCCACCCACCAGGAGAGATGACTAATAAACTAGCTAGTGGAGAAGTTGAAAACCCCACTTCACAAATTGAAATATGCACTGAAGATGTTGCCTAATGGTGGGGCAATGAAAGCTTCTCAAGTAAACCATCCATTTAGCTGAGAGAACACAACCACATCAAAATCATTCACCTGAGCTACAAATCTTCTCCATTTTTATTTTATTTATTTATTTTATTTTGATTACAGCTTGATGCCACACCGTATTTTTCATTACAAGTATGGCATTTTCAGCATGGATATCGGTGGCCCAAATTTTGCAGGCCGACCATTGATATCGGGTGTGCGTCGGTAGGGGTTCGAACCCCGGACCATGTGCATGGTCGGCGAGAGTCCTAACCACTGTGCCACCACATGTAATTTAAGTCAAACATTTGTGAAAGCATTTATTAGGTAAATTAGATCATGAAATGATGTCTTTTAGGGGAACGTTGAAATCACGAAGCACTGAAAAGCTGTCTCCTCTTAGTTTGGAATACTGAGGTCACCGGACGAGTATATTACCATTCAGCTACTGGATTGGAATCCTTTGGCTCATGAATCTTAACTTTCATCAATTCATCATATAGAGCCATTTCAATCCAGTGTCATAAGTGAGTGATCTGTCCTTACACCGGACTTGGTGTACTCACCATTTCTATCTTACAGACAGATACAAGTCATCGTAGACTGTCTATCAGAGTTGTATCATTTCATATCATATAGCAACAAGAAGTTAAGAGTGTTAGAATGATATCGAATTACACAGAAATGTGTGAAGTAGGCGAATATATCTTTCTGGCGAGTAATTCAACTAGAATTTGTAATAAGTGTATAAAATTCACTGTTCGCAGACTAATCCTTTATTTACGAGATTTAAACAGTTTGAGGTGAAACTTCGCCATGATTTTCTTTAGAAAAAGAGGTTATTGAGATACAAAAATGTATGGTCTGCTTGTTACTGTAAATGGCAATCAAAAAACCAAGTATAAATAGGTGTTGCTAGGTACTGCTGTCTGATTTATAAGAGTAGCTGAATACTGTTCACACGAACCAGCTGTGACTCACATTCAGATCTCTGCAAAATACAGGCTTCCCCGTCTGAACGCCTCCATATGCATCTATCAGTTCACCTGCTTTTGTGGAGCAAGGTGTATTGGCCGTAGCCAGAGGATGCTTTCCACGCGGATACGAGAACATATTCCAGCAGCATGGTTTTACAAGGGAGAAAGGAAGTGTGTGCAAAGCTCTATTCTAGAACACTTGATCGACTCCTGTCACTCTGCCAATCCTGACCATGATTTTAGAATCACCTACAGAATCCATGCTAACTTACTTGCCGCGTTTTCTTCGTTACAGACTTCTTAAGACAGTGGAGGCCTTGTCAATTCCTGACTTTAAGCCAGACCTTTGTGTACAAAAGAAGTATGTACAATCCCTACTTCTGGCTTGGCCAAAGAGGGATATATATTTATATATTTAGTTTATTTAGTTATTCTATGTACCTTTCCCTTATTACTAGGATTATGATTATTATTACTATTCTCACTCTGAATTGTTTCCGCTTGTCCCACTTGTCGCTCTAAATTCAAAATTATTATTTTTTTATTTTTACAATATTGAATTCTATCGTATCAAATTTCGCACCATGTTATGTAACGATGTTTTATATTCGTCTACTAATCCTATAATTATGCACCCCTTTCCAACAATATCTATACAACTTATGTATTATTCTATATATGACATTAATCATTTTGCTACTTGACATTAAAATATGATTATGATCACAAACATTTTAACTGCATTTCATACTATTATTATTATTTTATGTATTCAGGCATTTGATTTAATTCCCTCATCGGATATAATTTCTTAAACAAACCATATATATATACGATTGTACAGCTTGATAATAAATTCGTTGTTGAAAAGAGTCTCTTCGCTGAATATTGTGTTCTTAATTTAAAAAATGGACGGTCGTTACGCTCGTCTGGAACGGAGTTCTTCATCAATATACCCGGTTCGACTTAGCTCAGACGGATGTGTAGCTAACCAGAATCCAGATAAGTTGAACTGTTTTAGCTTAAAGTGACTTACTACCTATTCTGTTGTCAGTCGATAACCTCTTCGACTGCATCACTGCAAATATCATACAAATGTATATCAAGTAAATACAAAGGGAGATGTTAAAAGTCATTTTTTAAAATATTTTTATATTTTAGTCTTTAGCGTTCCCAGTGGAACATAGGGGTTGAAGCTAGAGGCTTAGAGTTTCGGTAGCAGTGGTATTTATTTTAAGGGGATGGGGATGCTAGCCTAATGCCCTCTTCACCAGTCTTAGCTAGGTGTAGGATTGCATCGGCCAGGGATCGGACCCTGAACCATGTGGGGCGTGGCTGGCGAGCATTCTACCGCTGTGCCACCGACTCACTGTAGCAAGTTAGCATAGACATTAATGTTATGCAACTTCTACATGTGACAATCAGTAATGATGATTATCATATCACAAACTACTAAACAGAGTATTGAATTCCAAATTGAAGTGACTTTATGGGGACTTTAAACGAAATATATGATAAAAAGACTATGGTGACCACTATTTCTTAAATGATTTTGACTAAACTTAGAAAGTAAAAGGGACAGATTTTATTAACACAAGGATAAATATGGACCGTTCAAGACTTTCATGACACTATGCGGAAGATTAAAAAGTTTTCAAACAAAACTTTAGACCACATCATTTGATAACCATAAACTTCATCATATGATGTGTCTTCCTTATTCACCGATGTATCATTTATGGAAACAGTAGACTTTGTATGTGAAGAACTCATAAGACGAAACATCAATACTGGCATTCGTATATCTTTTATAAAACAGCCTCTTTTGAAAAACACAATGAATGTTCAGTTTTTATTTAATAAGGAACTAAACAGATGAATTGATGGTGTGACCATAAAATCATCACTACGACGCATTCTAGGCAACATTTTCCTTGCAAAACTAGACAATAAACCTTCGGAAGATGTAACTGATGAACTAGAATTCTACTGTCGTTACATGGATGATACATTTTTGATAGTGAAAAATGAGGATGATGCAAAGAACATCCTTGACAAATTTAACGATGTACATCCTGAAATAAAATATACCATAGAGAAAGAAAAAGACTGTAGTATTTCCTTCCTAGATGTCCTTATGACTATAAAAGAGGACGGTACAATAAGAAGTGTATATAGGAAACGTACATCAACTGACTGTCAGTATACTCACTCTTTTTCAGCTTCGTGCCTTTGAAATACAAATGCAATCTAATAAAGTGCTTGATCCACAGAGGGAGAGCAATCTGCTCTGATGAATGTCTTGGTTGAAGAGCTCAGTATTAATAAACAGTTGCTGAGTGAGGATGGTTATCCAGAGAAATTCATCGATAAGAATATTAATCAAAATCAAGGTAGGCCAAAGTACCAACCAACAGTCCGGTAAAAGGCCATGTTCTTACTACAACTTCAGTTGCTGGGGGATAATACCAGCGACATATTAACACAACGCCTAAGGAATGCTGCAAAATGAAAAGCATTCAATGTCACTGAAGTACACTGTGTCTTCAAAACCATCCCCGTTTTACGTTTGTGAATTAAAGATAAATTGCTTAATTTCGCCTTCTCGATTTGTATCTTTCATTTTGATTGCTTCTGTTAGTTACACAGGCAGCACAACTAGATAGGCTCATCGTCGGATTTCCGAACATCATCCTGCACCACCAGTGTTTAAGTAAGGAACAAACGAAGTCCATTCATAGTTCTCATCTCGTGGATACAGAACACGAAATTGATGTAAAAAGGCGGCTTTCAAAGTCATCTACTGCATACCGACCCATTAATCTCAATTTTACCTCAAGAGTTCATCTCTTGCACATATCTCTGAGGAGGATGTTGGCATCTACATTAAAGAAGCCTAACTTATGTTTTCAAAAAAAGTTGATTCAGAAATTCTTGCTTACATTGACCGTCAATGAAGGTTTGAATGATCCTCAATTTCTTGTGGAAATTTCCTCAGTTTTATTTGATATTCTATTTACAATTTATTATGACTTATGCATCTTATGCTCCATACTGAAACTCTACACAAGAAACTATGAGAACTAACCAACCAAGAGGCGATTGCTCAACGAATATATAGGAGAAAATGGAGATAGATCAGGCATACATTGAGGAAACCATTAAATGACATCGTGCTCCGTTCAGGTCATCGTTTGAATGGCACTCCAATGGGAAGCGACGAGTGGGTCGTCGGTGCGAGGGTGACATGCAGGAGATCGTGTAAGTCAGAGGAGGAGGAGGAGGAGGAGATGAGAGATTATGAACAATCCTACACTTAGTTGAAGAGGAAGAAAGAAAATAGAAGAAAGTGGAGATGTGTCGTTGAAGCCCTATGTTCCACTGGAAACGCAAAGGAATAATAAGAATACATTTTAGTGTTATGTTTATGAATACTTAAAAATAAATCAATTCATTATGTCACTTAATGCTTCTTTCAAACTCAGTTGTTGCATATCACATTCAAGATCAAATTAGGTGATATTTAACTTCAAACAGTGAAAACAGTAACTATACCCTGAGTTGTCATAACAATAAATTACAAAACACAACTTTTATGAAATGAAAAACTTACACAATGTTTCTCTAATATTCTCTTCACAACGATTTAGCTTTTGCTGTAGAATATCTATATGCGCTTCCTTACGATGAATTTCAAGTTTTAACCCGTCCGTTTGATTTTTCATTTCCTAAATGTTTGTCAAATTAAATATTATGAATATATGTGTAAAACTTGGGCACTGTGGTAGTAAGTAATTCCATATTACTTTGTTTATTAGATGTATCACACAGTGAAACTGTATCATTACATACTGGATGACGTTTCGAACAAAATTTATCATTGTTCATAATCATATCAATTATAATCACACGACTTCGAAACTTGAGTTTTATAGTTTTCTTTGTTCCCTCCTATTTGTCGTCGTTGGGGTAGTAGAATTTTCCAGATATCCGACTGGACAGGTGTTGAATCATTCCTATTACATGTATTTTCAGTTGATTCGACAAACAAAGCTTCTGTTATCAATCTCTCCCTCCAACCTGCTACATTAGATTTTAAAACTGTCATCTTATCCCATCCTATTGTATGGTTGTGTGTAACTGCATGTAGTGCTATAGCTGAACTATTCTCTAGATTTCTTATCTTATTCGGGTCAACCAATCTAGATTTTGCTAAGTTTTTATGTTCAGCTAGTCTGACTGCCCTTGTTCTACTAGTTTGACCTATGTATTTGACCTGAAAATCATCTCAGGTAGGGTATTAGATAAACTAAATTGTTTTGTTTTAAAGGCTCCACAGGATCGATCCTTTAACCGACAAAGCTTGTTTCTAATTGAGTTTGACTCAATTAGAAACTAGCTTAGTTGCTTAAATGATCAGCCAATTTGTTGGTTTTTGCCTGCAAGTATTCCAATCTATGTGATATCATCCATGCACGAAATCCAGACCTTCTAGAGTCTTCTTATCGGTGGTCCATCGTATTCCTGTCTCCTCGCTCCTCACAGCCTGACGCATAATGCAGTCCACCACAATTAGGAATATCATCGTGAGTGATAACAGGCAGCCAGCTTGTCTTAGTCCTGTATGCACTTTGATAGCCTCGCTGAGTTTTCCGTTGTGGATCACCTGACACGTGGCACTATCATATAGCCAGCTGTTGAATGAGGTTGCTAAAGACTTGAGGCACTGGACTCCAAATAGAGTTGAAGCAGTTTCCAAATTACTTTTCGGGCAACTTTGTTGTCTGATCTTACCAAATAGCAATATATAAATATATATACATCTTAATGGTGCCAGCAGATATATTTGACTGTTCTCATTCATTCGCTGGTGTCAAGTTTGAATGAAAATAGATCTAGGTAGAAAGTCATCTGCGTATCGTTTATTTTAGCTGGTTTGTAGGGCTAATAAAAGATGCGTTTTCATAGTCTTCGCTTACATCCTCAGGTGAATACAGTTCAAACAGATTGAGGTATCAGTTTTACTGAAAATTCCCTAGTTTGCTACTAAGATCAAAACACTCAGATAGCTTCATCTTCTCTAGATGACATTAATACTCAAATAAGAAACTCATGTTTGGCGTATCTATGGAACTCACGTTGGCTAAAAGACAGAGATAATTATCATCTACATTTCTTTACATGATTATCTACTCCTGGTTAGTGCTACTTTCAAATTTAGGGGGACACTACATCTGATCGAACAACCAGCAATGCCAAGCCAATGACAAAAATCAGCAGAATACCCAGCTTTAACTTATCTATGAATAGTATTGGTGAGAAATGTAGTTCTTTTCTTGAACGTCAGCGTAGACCCTGATCATGTACTTGTTCTTGCACATGTGTGACTATGACTATAAGAGTACAGCTAAGTGTGTAGCTTGTGTTTAACAAGGAGGTAAATAAAAAACATATCTTGGTATGACAGAAAAATCCATCTCGAGGAAATCAAGCATAACATTCATTCGTTCATCCATTCTGAATTATTCTAATATGTTCAATTCCTCGTAATTCCTCACTAATCTTCACCTATTCTTTTGCTGTAGTTCTGCTACTTTTCTTTTTCTATCATTTTTACGTAATACTTTGAAACGCGAGAACTTGACACAGGTTGCTCTGTCTCTCAAACTCTTAGGCTGACAAGTCAGTCGGACATCGATATGACCCAAAGTCCTCTGAAAAATGTGGTGGAAAATCTAGGATGCCAGTAATGTGTGTGTCACTAATCTACTTTAAGGCTGGTTTAAATCAAAGATCTGTTTGACTATAATATGATTACACAAGACCATATAATCTGCTCAGAAGAGACACACCATACCATTATCTTAATTTGGGATAAACAGTTTTCCTCCGCATCCGTGTATGCTAATTTTTATTGTGAAATTATTTAAAATAATCTCAGTGTGTGTTTCATTGAGTAAGATATCTGAGATGCATGTTACGTATGGCAAGTCACTGTCCTCCCCGCCTAGGAATACTTGCATAAGATTACCTTGTAAAATGGTTATGGCCGGTCAGACCTAATTGTTACATCTGTCCAAGAAGTCTTTCATAGTTGGTAAAAGTCTACATTACCTGCTAGTAACCTCCAGACAAATCTACTTTAATCTATATACTGTGTGAGAAAATACCCTGATATTTAATAAAATCTGAGTGCTTCTGCTGGAGAAGTTGTGGCCTAAGCAGCAAAACGTTCAGACAAATCTTGATTTGATTCTCTAAACATACAACAGTGCCACTTAGAACGATTTTGAGCCATATCACCAATAATCTCTAGCCAGTGACTCTTGGCATGCCAAAGACCATAGCCATAAAAGTCTACACCTCCATGAACGGTTCAAACCAACTATGAAAGACTTCTTGGACTGATGTAACAATTGGGTTTGACCAGCCATAACCATTTTACAACGTAATCTTATGCAAACATTCCTTGACGAGGATGACAGTGACTTGCCATACGCAAAATGCGTCCCAGGTATCTCAGTCAATGAGACACACACTGAGATTATTTTAAATAATTTCACAATAAAAATTAGCATACAAGGATGCCGAAGAAAACTATATATCCCAAATTAAGATAATGGTATGGTGTGTCTCTTCTGAGCAGATTATATGGTCTTGTGTAATCATATTATTGTCAAACAGATCTTTGATTTAAACCAGCCTTAAAGTAGATTGGTGACAAACACATTACTGGCATCCAAGATTTTCCAACACATTTTTCAGAGGACTTTGGGTCATATCGATGTCCGACTGACTTGTCAGCCTAAGAGTAAAGAGCAATCTGTGTCAAGTTCTCGCCTTTCAAAGTATTACGTAAAAATGATAGAAAAAGAAAAGTAGGAGAACGACAGCAAAAGAATAGGTGAAGATCAGTGAGGATTCGCGAGGAATCGAACATATTAGCATCATTCAGAATGAATGAATGAATGAATGTTACGCTTGATTTCCTCAAGATGGATTTTTCTGTCATAACCAGATATGTTTTTTTTATTTACCTCCTTACTAAACACAAGCTACACACTTGGCTGTCTTCTTATAGTCGTAGTCACACATGTGCAAGAACAAGTACATGATCAGGGTCTACGCAGAAGTTCAAGAAATAAAAACTACATTTCTCACCAATACTATTCATAGAAAAGTTAAAGCTGGATAGTCTACTGATTTTTGTCATTGGCTTGGCATTGCTGGTTGTTCGATCAGATGTAGTGTCCCCCTCAATTTGAAAGTAGCACTGACCAGGAGTAGATAATTATGTAGAGAAATGTAGATGACAATTATCGCTGTCTGTTAGCCAACGTGTTTTCCATAGATACAACAAACGTAATTTCTGGACTGACCGAGTTTCTTACTTGTGTATTAAGGGCATCTCCTGAAGATGAAGCTATCTGAGTGTTTTGCTCTTAGCAGCAAACTAGGGAATTTTCGGTAAAACTGATACCTCAATCTGTTCGAACTGTATTCACCTGAGGATGTAAGCGAAGACTATGAAAACGCATCTTTTATTAGCCCTACAAACCAGCTAAAATAAACGATACACAGATGACTTTCTACTTAGATCTGTTTTAATTCAAACCCTAAACTGGCAAGTGAATAATAGGCAGCCAAATAGATCTCCTGACACCATTAAGATGTATTTCGTAGGTTCACTAAATCAGTCAGGTGAAGTTTGATGAATAACGACAATGGAGTCACATGTATGCCTCAGAGGCACGGCATATATTCAAAGGACAACGTGCTATGGTTACGCTTGGTGAGGCTTGTTGTGCGATTTGGCAAGGGGTCTGAAAAATTTAAAGCTCCATTATTAGCTTGCTTGTGTCAACGTCTAACGATAAAATGTTATCTGTATATCTGACGTCGTTTAACATGACCCACCCTAATAAGGTCCATATAACTACTTCTGAAGATAAAAACGACCCCAGCACAACACAATCCTTAATGCTAATGCTATTCATATTAGTAAATTCTACTGAAAATCATTCAAATATAATATAATTAAATTTCTATGAGAAATTTAAAAAACTATCGCTGGAGTCCAATAAGTTTTGATGGTCTGTATGAATTGTTTTGAATGACCTCTGCTGTGTCCCTCATAAAACCCTAATAAAAGTGACTCATTATTCACTGAGTGGTGAACCACTGCTTCTTTTGCAACTTTCGGATCCAACCCTTTGATCCTTCACATGTTCCTTGTGATTTAATCCTGGTATTTACTGATAAAGCTCATGGCGTTGAAGGCCGAGAAGGTATGACTGAATTTCAATATATCACACAGTATTCATATCTGGTTCCGCAAGACTGCTCAGCCAGTAGTACAGGGTCTCTGAGTCTTTAGCTTTCAATTCAAATAACATTATTTAAGTAGAAAAAACACCCATTTTGTTCAAAAAATTACTTCTGAGAAAATTTAGTCAGAAATTTCATCGCGAAATTCGCCAGCCATTAACCAGGATACCTAACATCGTGCTTACGAGTTTGTGTAAGCCGAAGTGATTCCTTTATACTCAATTTCCGGTTGTAGGATAAAAGTCACTGATCTTCCTTAAACTTTTGTTTAATGTGTGCTGACATTTCACTCTCGTAGTTTTGGTCGACTTCCCTTGGATTTTAAGAATTTAGTTAACTAATTATTTGAAAACCAAACACGCCAGTTTTCCAGCACTGTCAAGGAATATCAGTAATAGATCGTCTATAGTTCTACTTAGCGGAACATCGTAATAAAAGGAGTTAGACAAAGCCGAGAAGGTAAGGCATTTATATGCTCAACACAAGACATTCTTAATTAAAGTAATGGAATAATGCTGCTACCTCGAACTGCAAGGCAAAGGATGTGAAGAGTAATTGAAGACTGCTAAGTGTGAACGACTTTCAATAAAATCACGGACTACAAGAGGTTATGCTTATTTAGGAATGCATACTTTTCAAAATACTACTAATTAACTAACATTGTTATGTTTAGAGACAGTCTGTGTAGTAACAGCTGATATCTTGGAGTATTTTTGCCTTAGCCACTTATAGAAAATAATCATTCTGTTTCCCAAGTAATCATGCAAATACAAATATATGTAAACTATTCTCACTTTGATTCTTTTCAGTGAGTTGGAAGCCTCAGAGACCATAAGAGGTTGCTTGTCCATAATTTCAGCAGCCTGGCGTCGAATATAGTTGTTTTCGAGTTCCAAAAGGTAAATTTGCTGCTGCAGACTTTTCACATATTCATTTTCTAAATTTCTCATAGTTCTATAATTTGCGTCTAAATCACTATGAAATCTTAAGAGACAAGAATACGTTCTTACGCCGAAGCATCAAGAGAAAATCCTGTTACAGATTTTCCATATTTTGCGGCTGCCACCCTTTTTACTAAAGCACAAATGAACACTTTTATTTCAGGATTTACATGATCGACTTGGAGAGGAATTTTTTGAACGCAGCTGCTTTCTCCAAGAATCAGTGTCACTCTTTTGTGTTGTAACTTCGCTCATGATAACTTTTTTTCCAAATTTCGGCCAATTTAACGAAATATATTCAGTGCATTTGAGTATGAGGTTTGAAAAAGTGCGTTAAATTGTCATAGCATTTCATCAACCAATGGAATTAAATGACCTTGAAGTGAGATTTATTGGTATATTCAAACGCTTCTAAATTTCTAGCATTCCACTTCATCCAATACCCAATATCGTTTTTACGAGCTAGTATTAGCTGATTTGACTTTTTTCTGCTCGCTTCTAGATTGTGAGGTAAAGGTTCCTGATCTCTGATAAACCTCTGAGAAGTTCGTTCCACCACTCGGCTGTCGTAACTTTGATTGACTGCAAAAGGAGTAGTGCTGGGATTTATTATATGTGGTTTGTAGTATGCGGTGTGTTAAGAGTAAGACCGGAGAAAATTTAAAGAAGTAAAACGACGAACTTAATTGTCAACCCCCGAATGGTGTATGGGATTTTAAGGGGACGCAGTCTTTGTGTCACTGCATGATTGCTCAGCCTTCTCTTAAAGGCGTCCGCAGACGGTGTGGTAGCTACGTCTGCCAGTAAGGAGTTCCAGGGACGGTAAACCCGTAGTGAATAGGAGTGGGAGCGCATCCGGATCCTTGCCCTTTGGTGAGCTATCCTTCTGGGATTTCCACGAGGAAGTCTATATCTACTCAGTGGCAGAACACCTTTGTTTGGGTGTTTCTGATCATTTGTTATCTTGTAGGCAGTAATAAAATCCACCATAAGCCGACGGTAGCTAAGTTTGAACAAGCCCAGTTTCTCTAACCTTTCATCGTACGTTTATTTCAGAGACCAACCACTCTTTTTGTCGCCCGTCTTTGTACTCTTTCCAACAGGTTAGGGTCCCTTCTAAGCAGTGGGGATGCAATGATATTGTGCACTTCAGGGTGTGGTCTGACGTATGTTTCGAACAACCTTAGAAAATCTCAGGAGTGAGTGCGCCTAAGTTTCTATGTCTTAGTTGTATGACTACATATACCCTCGTTAAATCCCCGTGTAGTTTACACTTGTGTCTATTTTTTCCGTTAGAACTAGAACTAAGTCACTCTCGGACATTGTGAAGGACAAGCTTTCTTTGCGAACGGTGTAACTTGCATTCTGCAGCCTACAGGTGCGTAATTTCACTACTTTTCACTTTTTCAGGCTGGAATTCATACCACCGTCATCACCGCCCAGTCTTCAAGAAGCTTTATATCTGCCCACAGCCTATCTGAGTCTTCGGGACACTTTACGTCGTCAGCGCATAGATGAGTCGGGCAGCTCAGACGGCATGGTAGGCCATTGATAAGAATCAAAACCACCAGTGGTCCTAGGATAGAACCCTACGACACTCTAGGAAGTCTAGGAAGACCACATGGACTGAAACATTCATATCCCAGGATGATGTCCAATCGTCCCAAGCCGATAGTAGGTTAGTTACACAGGATCTGCTCTTCCTGAAACCGTGTTGGGCTCCATGGAGTCTATTGGTCCTACCGGGGTGCTCCCTGATGTGATCATCAATAATACTTTCCAGTACTTTTGACGCCACTGGGAATAGTGCTACTGGTCTACAACTAGTGCTATTTTGACGACCCCCATCCTTGAAGATCGGAGAAAGGATTGCTGTTTTCTACTCCCTTGGCAATTTCCCCGAATCCATCGAGTGTTGGAACAAGTCGCATAAGGGACTGCAGAGAGCTTCGGTGCACTGTTTCAGAATGGATGTCCAAATGTCGTCGCAACCTGGGGACTTTCCAGGTGTGAGTCTCTGTAGCTCCCCTAGTACTAGTGCCGGGTTTATTTGGATAGTAACCACTAAGTCCCCCTCCTGTGAATAGTAGTGCCGCCATTTTGGTCCGTATTAATAATACCCACATTGCTGCTTAACTGTTTGGCGAAGGCTAAACTGAATGTTTCCACCATCTCCAGACTAGTGAGATATTGACCGTTTGGACCTACTAAGACGCACGCCCCCTGGTTGGTTGGTTTCCTTTTCTGTAATCAACAAAAAAGGTAGCCATTACAAGAAGTCGCTCAAACCACAACCGAACAAAACACAGATGAAGCCTGGGTTCCCGCATGGGTTGGTTAGCGACCATAATACCTCACCCGATCCGGTGGTATCGGCTCCATCGTTGATCGCCTCAAAAGAGAAACATACTGTTTCAGGTATGACCACAGTTTGACATCACTTAGAGAACTACTGAAAACCGTGGAGTCCTAGATAGGTGTTTCGTTCTAGTTTGGGAATCACTGGCAGTATGCATCTACTAGGTTTTCAGGGACTAATGCTGGCCACAGGACCCTACCGTCTTTTACACCATAACTCTAACTGAGTGTTAAAGGCCGGCGTGACATCTCTAGTATTCTGCTGGTGGGGATCTCTTGCGGTGTTAGAGACACAGTTTGTTCATGGTTTTGTAAACTTGGATAGGAGAGGCTGAATTTGGATACACGCCGCAGTTGGGGATTATCCAGTCCTTGGCGCTACATATGGTATCTAAGAAAATCCAACTGACTGGCAAACCATGCCAGATTTATACCGAGTACCCCACATTCAAGACTTAGCTGCTAGCCTTCATGGTGCCACAATATTCACTAGTATTTGCGTCTACCACATTATTTCCATGAATGTGGGAGATATGCCTAGTACAGCAATTACCAACCCATTTAGATGCAGTTTGGTCCCAGGAATGCGGCACAAACTTTCAAAGGTTCATAGATGGCTTGCTACCTGGGCCGCCACTTACCAAAGTATACATAGACGACACACTCGTCAGGAGCCCGGATATAAATACACATGCGGATCACGTGTGAACCGTACTACACAAACTAGAAGACAACGGCATGACAATCAGTCGAGGTAAGTGAGCTTTTGATATTGTAAAAATATAGTTCCTATGGCACATCAGTGACAGCGCTGACACCTTACCAATGCCCAAAGAGGTGGATATCATCAAGCGATATCCCCTATACACTCCCTTAACGCAAATCTGTAGCATTCTGAGGTTGATCAATTTCTGTAGACGCTTCATACCTAATTGCGCACGATTCATGCAGCCCCTTACTGATGCATGAAAAGATTTCCAGTTGTCAAAAGTAAGTATAGTTCCTACCTGGTTCCTCATCCCATCTTTCCGAGTTCCTTGATCACGTACTACATTTGAGCATGCTGTGCTGCAGAAGCCCTTCAAATTTGCCAAGGATACTTTTAGTGAATAGTAATTTTGCACAGATTTGAAGCAAATTTACTGCTGAACTGTCTTCTAGATGAACATTGCACATAGACCACCTAGCTACTGACGATCTCTCTTCAGGTTTGCCGTCTTCGAAGGTTTATAGGGATTATTTGCTTCCAAAGTATTCATGTGTGACATGATGTGCATGTTTATTTCCAGTAATGGAAACCACCTAAATGCACGAAACCATACTTTTACAGTGTCTGACCTAAGTGGTATGAATGTAATAACCCTGTCTAACAAAAATGAATTTCCGGGTCTCATCACAAATCGCAGTGGTGGCCCAAAAATAGTAGTGACCCACAAGGTAAACAAGTAGAAATCGGACCAAATTCACTGCACCTCAGTCAAAGAAGTCTGAGTGCACTCCAGTCTAAATCAGTACATATATATTGTTGAAAAAATTAAATTTACCTCCCTTTTGTTACCACCTACTGGAATGGGCAGGACGGGGGCGGCAAACTGTTTTGAATCTCCTCAGGTAGTTAGCCTTGTGTGACTGTGTATCCTGAGCTTAGGAGAATTCTGCAGTCATACGAGACGTTGGTTTCGACCATTTTAAAAGCTTTTAAGCGATGTTTTACACAGGTCTAATATCTGTTGTGGAGTTTGTTATACTGTGCGCGAAACCACCTTGTAATTACTTTTGTGCCCACACCATTGGCTGGGTATTAATCAATAGTTGACAAACTAAATCAGGGCAGCAACCAGGTTATCTAAAATACCTACAATGTTTTGGGGTATTAACTAGTGGACAATCATGGATACTTATCTACATGGAGATCGTGTAGGAGCAGTCAGACCTCCCACATGGCATGATTTCTTAACCTCATGCTTCCAGCAGAAAGAAAACGACTCAAACACTGAACGTCGGTATCCTGTGCCTAATAATCGTAGAGAGCTAATGATCTAGGGGAATTATTTACAGCCACTTTGATTTGAGGCTAGTAACCCCACGGCATGGGAGCAACACTACTATTACTGAAAGTCGAAAAGCTTACATAGGGATGTTCCACTTAGAATTCGAGGAGTGAATGGTACAAAAATCTTGAAATTAAGTCAAGCTTCTGAATGTCAGATATAACGAGTGGCTGCATTGCATATCCTCGCTAAGTGTAGCGTCACAGTCCGTTGATATAGCGGTTTAATCACAAATTATGTCTTTTATATGGTTTTCAAATGAAATTTTGTATCAAAACGTTTTCCTGATGTACACAAAATCACCGGCGCAATTCAGTTGAACTGCGGCACATTTGCTACACTTGTATCAGAAAATGTCGTTTGATACTGATACCTGCGCTCTTTGAATGAATAAAAAAGGCAGTAGATGCTAATACCCACCGGATAAAGCAGGTAGTGCCACTTCAAGCCTGTTGTTACCTTGATCAGATGATACTTAGTGCGACAGACCTAAAATATAATAGGTATTAGTTCTGCCACTTTATACTAATTTTTGTTTACTTAAAGTCAAAAGGAAGCACCGATTTAAGCAAGAATAGCCAGAAATACTGTTCTTGCCCGGACGCAAATTACGCAATTTGTAGAAACAATTGCAAATACTCACTACTTCGTCGCAATAATGTTGACTAACGCAAATGTCGACTGCAGTGACCTTTACTGATGCGTGTTTGCAGTTAAACGTTTTAAACATCGGCTTGTTCATGCACGTAGTAACTTTTATCCATCATTTTGTTAATTATTTCTGATGTCTAGGAATTATGTACACCTGGTAATTGACTTTTTCTAAAACTGCGCTGACTTCAAGTTTCAAGACAGTTGCAATATCCACTTTTTTTCTGATTGGAAAATATTGACTGACGTAAATACACACAAATTAATGAATTCTTAGCACTTTAACAGATTGGT